AAATGTTATGAAACTTATACACAAGTGTATTGTCTCAACTACATGAACCTGCTTCTGTATGTGGAAGTTGACTCGTGCATATTTACAAGTGAGGGCATCTGTGGCTCATAAACACATTTTCCATTTATTTCTGTTAGATTTTACATGAAACAATTTGTACATTTTGAAAAAAGGTTGGAATGGATGGATTTGATCATTTCATAATTAGGTAAGAATTTTTTTCATTTTTAGGTATCATTTGAATTGTGTACCTAGTGTGCTCAGATATAAACCAGAAAGTTTCAGTGATAATTGCTAATATAATTTTTCATGAATATTGTCTTTTATGTTAAGAGTGATGACAGATTGCTAGATTGAAATAAACTTATTTATATATATTTTTCAGTGAATTAAGTGCAAGGGGTGGTAGTTCATTGCATATTCAGAGAACTAAGATCCAGTATCACACCACATTATCTGGTGAGACAGTTCATGCACAGTAAGTACTCAAAGGACTTTATATTGGAGTCTCATTCAATTAAATAAGATTGACAGTGAAGTGTCTGAACATTTTGACAAGTTAAGTCTGCACAAAAATCTTTTCAAACTTTCTAGTCCGAAAACCAATATTCCAAAATTTTCCATATTGACTGAAACAAAGATTTGCAAAAACCTACTGGTCTAGATAAAAATTTACTCGTCTGGTGCATGGGACTAGTAGCTTACGGTGCAGACTGCGAGTTTGAAGCAGATTTATACCACTTAAAGTAAATTTTAGAGACATTGAAGAGCTTATTTGAAGTGAATAATTTATTTTAACAATAAATAGTTCATTATATAACAGACAAGAGCATGTTACAGTCTCCTTAGATCATTTAAATCTGCTTTCATACATTTATTACCATGGTATTTGAATGTTTCAGGACAGATATATGTTTTGTGGTGATTAAGAATGACAGAGTATTAGACTCACAAAAAGGAACAGCTGAAATATCATCATCAGCATATACAGATATCTTATCTCAGTTTAAAGTGGGGGATGCAGGGGTGAGTTTACATTCTCTCATCTATCTATTCAATTCAGTGTACTCATTTCCCCTTATGCACACATTTTACTGGTACCCACCTCTCAATCCACTGGCTGATCAAACCATTGATCCAATATACTGATTGATGGATGGTTCAGTGTCATTTATTTGTGTACCCATTTAACTTTGTAATGGTATCTTGACAATTTTTTATAAATTTATCCAGATGGTTCATTTATACCAAAGATGCTATTTCAGCCATAGTGTTATGAATTATTTGTTATAATGTACCTAAATGAAAAATCCTTTCCTTACTTTTATATATCTTTTCTTCTTAAAATATCTTTTTTTTTATATATATACAGAGCGTGGCCATAAGTATTCGTCACTTGAGATTTTTCCCTATATATTTCATATAAAACTACATTTTTCAAAACAATATTTTGGGGTCATTTCTTGTCTGATTTTAAGCAACTTGGTACCAATAGAAGCAGAATTATCACAGGTTTATTTGTTTTGTTTGTTTGTATTTTCGTTGTGGATCATTTTCATTTTCTCACGAGATGTGTAACTTTTTTTAGTCGAAGGGGACTTTAGGTTTGCACTCCGTCCATCTGTTTGTCTGTCCGTCTGTCTGTCCTTCTGTCAGTCCGGCAAATCAGTTTTCCACACTTTTTTTCTTCATGCTTGAAGATATTGATTTGATATTTGGTATATTGTTTTATCATGACAAGTTACAGATCAAGTTCGAATTTTGTTCCGGTCTGATAATTTTGTGCAGAGTTAGTCCTTGGACTTAGAAAATTCACTCAAATAATCAGTTTTCCGCACTTTTTTTCGTCATGCTTAAAGATATTGATTTGATAATTGGTATATAGTTTTATCATGACAAGTTACAGACCAAGTTTGAATTTTGTTTCAGTTTGATGATTTTTTGCAGAGTTATGGTCCTTAGACTTAGAAAATTCACTTAAATTATCAGTTTTCCGCACTTTTTTTCGTCATGCTTGATGATATGTATTGACTTGATATTTGTTATATAGTTTACACAATGACAAGTTATAGATCAAGTTAGCAGTTTGTTCTAGTACAATTAATTTTTAAAGGGGCACTAGCTATGAGATATATAAAAAATCTAAAGTACGATTTTTTTTTGTTCAATCATTAATGAAAGTGAAATAGTGAAATAATTATTCGCTTTTAGCAGCCAGTATGGTTCAATTTTGTCAAAATAAGCTAAGAAACGTTGATGATGAATTATTCACTTGCAAGTGAATAATTCGACCTCATTGAATCCGTATTCATGTGAACTTCAATTTAACCCCTTAGCTAGAGATGGATAACGCATGAATTGTCCGTGTAAAGTTATTTAAAGGAAAAGAATGTCAACATTGAAAGTGAAACAAAGGTAAATCATTTGATCGACTGATTTGATCCACAAAAAAACATTTTTATACAGGTAAAAACAATGATAAACATATATTTTTAATCTAAAATATGAAATTAAACAGACCATGCAAAATCTAATTGCACGAGTTGCTTAATCTGTTTATATCTATATTTATGTTTAAATCGTTTATATGGTCATCGGAGGTGTTCGGGGGTCAACTCGATAGTTAATTAGATGGTGTCTAGACTAAAATACACTCGAAACGTTACTACATATTATTGAGATCATGAGCTGTAAACTGTTTATTTAAGACTTTCAATAGTTTGGACAGATGTTTTACATTGTTATTAATCAAATATGAGAATTTGAGTCAAATCAGTGAACAAGAATTTGACAGCTAGTGCCCCTTTAACCGGTAGGGGACTATGTATTGCCATGCAATACTCTCAGAATGCTTGTTTTATCTGTGTTCACATCAAAAGAAAACAAAAACAACCTAAAATAAAACTATGGCCAAATAAACAAATATTCTTTTGACAATTCTTCGTCTTTTAATGTTTTGTTTATATAAATCCAACCATAAATGCTTTCAAAATATTTTTTGGAAAAATGTGTTTTTATATGAAATATATAGCAAATAAATGCAGGTGAATACTTTTGGCCAGGCACTGTATTAGCCATATAACCTATGTCATGTTTAACAAATTTAAAGAATGGTGCAAGCGTCTTAACTGATGTTCGGTTTGACTTTTTTATTGTATAAATTTCAAGATTGTTATAGTTTAATCAAAGTAGACTGATATGATTCATTTAACATCATAATCATACTGATGAAGGATATCTGTTATCCGAAATATTTATAAATAATTACATTTACAGTTTCCTTTTTTTTGTTATTGGTGTTGTTTTGTACACTTTTTAGGCGTTTATATATTTTATTTATTGTGTACATGTATCGTTACTCGATCTCGCGCCCTTGTGGGAATAATCGTTGACTATTATTCAGACGTTTTATATATATATATATATTCTAGGCACTTTATATATATATATATATATATATAACCAGTCTAAAAGGGTACAACATCACCAAAAAATGACAATAAACGAACAAATGTAACTATAAATATTTCGGATAGCAGATATCCTTCATCAGTATGAGCACGATGTAAAATGAATCAGATCAATCTATTCTGATTATTAAACTATAGCAATCTTGAATTCTATACAATAAAAAAAGTGAAACAGTTTCAACCAAACATCATATGTAGAGACGCTAATAAATTTTTAAAATTTCCAAAAAATGACTCAAAGACATGCCTAAAATGAAAATAGTAATTAGAGATATGAACTGGCACAACTCTAAAATTCCAAAATGACGTCAGTTAAGATGTTACAACAACTGCGTGTAAATACATTCCCAAAAAAAACAGCACTGATCGATATAAGCTGGTAAAATATGTCAAACAGAGGCTGCGTATTTATCATCCCAAATAAATAGCAGTTTTATAATGAAAAGAAAAAATAATAGTAAAATTGGGCTAAGGTTAAAAAATTGGACGTGGATGCGTACTTGTATATCCCTACCAAATGAAAAGAACCCTGGTATTTAAACTAGTAAAATTAAAAAAATTCCAAAAGAATCCTTAAAACTGTAAGGGTCAAGTAAGGAGTAACTGGAAACAAATGATGTCAGGAAAATGAGTGATGGTAGGGAAAATGAGTGACTCATTCTATGTTTTCTCGTAGGAATTAAACAAGGATCTCTGATACAATACACAAAGTATTCTTTTAGTGTACAGAAATGTTCATCATCTCTTCAGTATAATTTCAGGATGCTAATCTATTTTTAGAAGCATACAATCACTGTAAATTAATATATGTATATATATATTTAATTTGGATAAAGAATCTGTCTGGGTTAAATGTATTTGGAAGTGCTTAACCCTCCCCTAACCTGGGACAGCAGTGTTACAGCACAACATAACAACAAACTGAAAAAATCAGTTGCAAGTGATTGTTTTGTCCCTTTGTTTCACACACTTTGAAACATCATTCATCCATGATTCAAAGACTAATTGCAAATTACAAAGAAATTTAATTGTATGAATTCATGGATTGTCATATTATTATTTTTCAGCCCTGTGACCCTCCCACCAGGAAATCTACATATGATGCCTACTGGTGGATATTGGTAGCCTTTGCTATTTGTATGTTTATAATTGTCCTGGTCCTTATTGTGTTAGTGGCAATTTTCTATAGAAAGTAAGTATAAAATTGAGTGGTCAGGTTACATAATAATTTAAAAAGATGTAGAAACTCAAGTTCAAGACAATCATGTATCCATGTTATTTCAATTGTGAATTAAACAGAGGTGTTGATAAAGTTACTAATATTTAATTGTCATGAAAAAAAAACATGATAGGAAGAAAAGTGGGAATATCACTCTTTTTTCTTTATATATCAACAATCTGTAAGTCCTTGTTTTCCTCTCTTATCAATATCCTCTTTGATTATCTCCCCTTGGAAATATTTTCACACAATTTATGTTTTATACTTTACAAGACTATGTGGGTAAGATAAACGTATTTTTTTGTTTACAGTTACAGACAGTATATGGATACAAGAAAACAATGTAAGTATTAAATAAAGGCAACAGTAGTATACCGCTGTTCGAAATTCATAAATCGATTGAGAAAAAAAAAACAAATCCGGGTTACAAACTAAAACTGAGGGAAACACATCAAATATAAGAGGAGAACTACGACACAACAGAAACACAACATTAAAATGTAACACACACAGAAACGAACTATAATATAACAATGGCCATTTTCCTGACTTTGTACAGGACATTTTAAGAAAAAAATGATGGGTTGAACCTGGTTTTGTGGCATGCCAAACCTCCCGCTTTTATGGCAATGTTAAATATAACATTAAAATGACAACATTACATGACAGGACTACAATACAAATAAATGGGAGAACATATAGGACATAGAAACACATGAATAATAGCTAACAAAGGGTACCAGGTTTAAAATTTAATACGCCAGAAGCGCGTTTCGTCCACACAAGACTAACCAGTGACGCTCAGATGAAAAAAGTTTGAAAGCCAAAACAAGTACAAAGTTGAAGAGCATTGAGGACCAAAAGTTCCAAAAAGTTGTGCCTAATACGGCTAGGGTTTTCTGCCTGGGATAAGAACATCCTTGTTATTTAGAATAATTCATACTTTTGCAAACAGTAAATTTTTATAAAATGACTATATTATAGATATACGTGATAAAACCGAAGTGGTGACTAACTACAGAATAAAACCAGCACATAAAAATTCACAGCCGAGTTAGCCAAAGCGATAAACGCACAAAGTGACGTCACATTTGAATTTCTAAAAATTTTCCCAAAAAATAGGATAGAATTAGGATAGAATTCAAGATTAGATTTGTAATACTGATATAACATTTATTAATAACAATGAAAATTACAATACTAATTAATATCAAATTGTGGTAGTAATTAGATAATTAATTATTGTATTATCTAGCTATGTCGGTGTTTCTTCTAAATCAAACTGTAAACCAAATATATCGTATTAATTTATATTAGTTGATCCAAACTAAAATCTAATAAATGAACTGGGTGATTAATTATCTTTACCATAACACACGAATACAACAGAAAAAAAATAAGATTTACAACTACAAACAATAAGACATTTGACAAAATCTGATGAGAATAACAAATATAACATCAAAACTAAATACATGAATTTTGGATAGAAAAGTACCGTGACACGTCTTATAGCAATGCGAATTCACACTCAGCAAAACAGTCACAATCGGGAATAAGTCATGTTCGGTAATTAAAAGATCAGACGACGTAATGACAAATTATTATTAAAAGATGTTTGTGTTGTCATCAAATTCAATTCCTTAGAATCAAATACAGTAAAATCTGCATATTATATCACCTCTATTAAGTGAAAACCTGTCATGACAGATCACCATCTTCTTGTCCTGCTATAGAAATACTTATGCATTTTGAACCTCAATTTAAATGTCATCTATTAATATTGTGTCAGTTTTCTGTAATCCAGAGGTGACCTTTTTATGATAGTGCGGGTGGGGCAACCGTGTACTATGAACACATTCTTGTTCTGTATTAAGATAACATTTTAGTAATTGACACACAATTCAAAATAGTTGATATAACATTTCAAAACTTATTTTTTACCAAATTTTTGCTATTTTAGTTGAAAAAATGTATGTTTAGAAAGATAGGGCATATCATGATTTTGAACATGCTTTCTTTAATATACTGTTAATGTTTGAAACCTCTAGAAATGGAAAACTCAGACCATGAAATATAGTTTCATATGAGGGGGCAATTAGAAAAGTAAAAGTAGTAGTCTTTTGCATTATTAGACCAAAGTCTATTTGCTCGTACTGTTAGTTGGTAAAATTTATATTTCTGGAAAAAAACAGCTTTTTTCAATGTGCAACAATATCTTATTATTTTCAGATTTAATACAAGATTGATAAATGAGAGAAGATTGTCTCAGGAATACTTGTCTATTTTATTGTGTAATTGAGTGCTACTTATTTGTGATACAGAACTCATTATAAACAACAAGGATTACTTTATTGAAAACAGTGCCATTAACACAACAGAAAGAAGAAGGTAGTCAATATTCAAAACAGCATTTTCAATTGATCAAAAACAATGGAGTGTCAGGGATCTCCTGCAATATCTACTGTGTGATTTCTGCTTTGTATTTTGAGGTACACCCATTTTAGTTAGATCTTCATATATTTTCAATTTACAAAAGTTATATTGATGTCATTGTACTATATGGAAGGTGTCCCATTTATCTTGAGGACATTATGCAAGCAATAATCAAATAATTTTGATATTTTGATTAAATTTATTTTGTTTATAAACCTGAATGGTAAAATCTTGCCAAGTAACCCTATTACCATCCAGAACTAAGAATAAAAGAAAAATGCTGTAGAAAATACTTTATTTTCAGTTAGTTATAAATGTTGTCCTTAATTATAGATCTTGTTTGTGTGAGAGTGTAATAACTATAAGATTTACTAGCAATCCTTTTATTTTTACGATTTTGATATTTGATTTATTACTGTGATAAGTTATGTATCTGTTGAATGAAACATGAAATTGTTACATTATGTCAAAACACAAATGCTTTTGTTGGTGATCAGAATTTAATTGTTTATAATTCTTATAACCCCGATAGCCATAGCAAGGGTATGTGTATTCTCTATGTTTAGTACACCTGTTCATTTATAAATTTTTCTTTGCTTCAATTGTCAGACTACATCTCCTAGAAAACTATTTTTCAGCCGAATTTAAAAAAAATAACAACATTGCATGGTTGTATTTCTAGTGTTTGGTTTCATGTATTATGTTCAGGTGGTTTTGAAGTCAGATTTGTAAATTCTCCTGCACATTAAATTTTCTCCCTCCAAACTACAAAAAACTATAAAACAGCAGAACACCAAAACATGTGGAAAGTTATGGAAGGACTGCTTATTCCCTTTCTTTTTTGGTTGTGATTTGATAGTGTATATTTTGTCTTGAACGGTTTGTCTTTCATGTTAATTGAATATCAGTGTAGCATAATAATTTGAAGTTTTATATATACTTAAGAATTTTATGTATTATATTTGTACATGTATATGGCTGTAGATGATTATTGTTTTACATTATATTTATTGTATTTTGTATAGATGTTTTGTACAAACAAACATTCCAAATAAATTATATATTTTAGTATTTTCAAGTTGTTTTTATCTAGCCTGTTAATGTCCATTTTGTGATAAACTAAACGCTCCTTCATCTAATAGAATTTATTAACTATTTGAATAAATCTATCAACATCAGAAGTAATAAAAGTTAGGCTTTCCAAATTGGCTTATTCTCTGACTGTCTTAAAATGATCATTAATCAGACACAGTCAAATGTTTGGTTTAGCATAGCCACTTTTATAACTAAATCGTAGTTTATCTCAAATTAACTATGCTTACTCAGGGTTACCATATCTCAACCAGGGTCGTCTCTGCTTAAATTCAAATGGAAAAATATTTACAGTATTTTCTTAAAAAATATTGACATAATCCCTTTTGCGGTTTAATTTGTCAAATTTTAAGAACAAACTGATTTAGCTGAGATATTTCTGGTTTTACGGATGCTCTTGTACCAGGTTTATTTCAAATTTAAACTATGCAGAACTGTTTTAGTGGACTTCAAGCATATTTCTTCCTTTCATCAATAACATGTATAGCAGTAACTGTGGGAAAGGAAGGTGTCTTCATGGCATGCAAAACTATATATATATTTTTTAAATTTACATGTTCAATCAATCATTTAACCTTCAATGCAGAAGGTCAGAGGTCATACCGCCATCTTCAATGCCATTTGGCATTTCACTATGACATCCTGCCAAAAATCTAACAATATTTCAAAGGATAAAAAAGTTGAGTTCTTGACACTTAAATGTCCCCACAATTTACACCTGGAATTTAAGTTAAAGGAAAAGATCACACGAAGGTCGTGCTTATTTTCAACAAAAGGTTTTATCGAAATGCAACTTTATGTCAAAGGAAAAATGTCCAGGGTAAGGTTGTATGAAAACCAGAAAAGATGAGGTTTTTAGTAAGAGTGGATAGCGTTTGTTTCCCTTGCAAAGTCTGTGCATTTTGAATGGTCCATTCACCCTCATATTTGAAAGATTGGTAAATATCTTAGAAATGCTTCAGATCCCAACAATTAAACAATGCATCATATGTTTTGTGCTTGAAAGACATGCCCCTCTCTTATTTTTTTATATCGTAAATCTACTATATGTTTATATGATTATGTGTTTACAGTTTCAAAGATGATACAAAATTAAAATGACTTAAATTCACATCTTATAAGTTACTCATATTGTATTTAAAGCACTTTAACGTTACTTTTAAAGGGAAATCACACTTTTTATACTACTAATAATAAATCATTGAAATTTTGCATGTAGACAGATCATACTTATTACGAAATTTTAGGAGAAAATAAAATTGGGGTCACCGATGTTGTTTTCGAGATATGACGTCATCAAAACTTAAAAAATCGCGTTATAACGAAATATAGAAATAGCGCTTTAAATTGCTAAAAAAAAGACAAACTTATTGAAAACGATGTTTAACTGGAGTAACAAAAAAAGTCAAATGTAACTTGTATCTTATGAACATTTATTTGTCTCGGTTTCCTTATTTTTGAAGGCCTTTGAACATTTCCCGCCATTTTTAATTGCTATTTATAATAGATTTTTTTTGAAATAAAAAAAAACTACTAATGTTTTTCCCTTCAAACTTCTGCATAAGTTGCAGCTTCAGGGAAGATTTTAAAAGCATAAATAAAAAAGGGGGGTCACCGATGTTTTAAATCCGCTAAAACGGAAATAATCTTATTATTGAATTTTGGCGGGAACTATAACCTTTTCTGTTAACGTTATGGAACGACGTTGCTGGCATAACAGCATTTCTTGCAACGCTTGGGTTGAATTAAATCTTTTCACTACAAAATATAATATCATGTTTGAACATTTTTTAAGGTATTTTGATTATTCATTGAAATTTTTATCAATCTATCGAATCGTCAAACATAGATACAATAACAGTTTATTATAAAGTAATTGTCAAAGTTGAAGTCATCTCATTTTTTAATTGCATTTGTTGTATGGGGAAAACGAATGTTTGCCTCATGCCGTATTGTAGAAATAATTTTTGGCTTCTAGATAAAGAATCTTCTACCTCGGAAAACTAAGGGTATCCGGGCTGAAAAGTAACACGTGCCTTTTCGACTGCAGGCAGAATAATTTCGTTACCATAATTTCACTAGCTTGTCCATTCGCACCGGGAAGATAAAACCTGAAATGCCGTGTTTAAAATGCCACAAACTCAGCACGTTGAAAGAAACTTATTTTCGGTAGGAATTTACAATTGGTTCACATTTCCGTAATTACACAACGCTTCATAATTTATTCGAACTGTGGAAATCAAATTTTTTTCTGAGTTCTATCATCCCGCACCCATTTTTCATAAATCGTTTCATGTTCATTGTACATAATATGTTCAATGTTCATCGCCTGTGTATTAAAACTTTATGTATTACGTAAATTTTATTACCTTTCGATTAATCGCTCAACGTATGTTATGAGAAATACAATGCATCTGATAATTGAGAGTAAATTGACAATAAAATACACATCGCCATATTGATATCAGAAACATATAATGTTCCCAGTGGATATGTAATAAAAATTCTTTCAATTTGTAATAAACGGATCTATTTTTTTTTCTTGTTCTGCTACATCTATCCGTGTTTCTGTGGACATGTTGATATAATTTATCTAACTCTAGTTTGTTGTCGAGCCTTCGACTTTAGTCGAAAAAGCGAGACCTAGCGATCCTACATTCCGTCGTCGGCGGCGGCGGCGGCGGCGTCCACAAATATTCACTCTGTGGTTAAAGTTTTTGAAGTTTTAATAACTTTCTTAAACTATCCTGGATTTCTACCAAACTTGGACAGAAGCTTGTTTATGATCATAAGATAGTATCCAGAAGTAAATTTTGTAAAAATAAAATTCATGTTTTTCCATATTTTACTTATAAATGGACTTAGTTTTTCTGCCATGAAACAATACATTCACTCTGTGGTTAAAGTTTTTAAAATTTTAATAACTTTCTTAAACTATCCTGGATATGTACCAAACTTTGACAAACGCTTGTTTATGATCAAAAGCTTGTTTCTCGAAGGAAATTTTGTCAAAATGGACTTAGTTTTTCTTCCAGTTAACATTACATACAGTATGCAGTTAAAGTTTTTATAACATTTATTAGATCCACAGACTATCCTAGATTTATACCAAACTTGGACAGAAGCTTCTTACAATCAAAAGATAGTATCGAGAGGAATATTTTTATTGATTGTTTTCCTCATTTTTGTTGAGCCTACGATTAACAGCAAAAGTAGGCGAGACACTGGGTTCCGTGGAACCCTTACGAATTTTTTTTATCAAATGACAAAATAAGAGTTCGAGTTCCAGCTAAATTTTGTGTTAAAGTTCCAGTTTTATTTTTAGTTCGAATGTTAATTCGAGTAAGAGTTCTAGTTTAGGCTCGAGTTCCACTTACAAACTTCCGAGTTATACTGTAAGATAGAATAAATTCTAGTAAGAGTTAAAATTTTGAGATCCGATGAAATTTAAAGAAAGATTGCAGTTTCTATTTTCTGTTGGTGCACCTCTCTTTCTTGAATTGTATATTCTTTTATCACATTTATGTTTCAGTATGGTATAGCCTATATACTTTTTTTTGCCAAAACTGATTAATGATAGGTAATTTGAAAATAACTGATTGATTGTGTGTGCCACTTTCAGCACTCTGCTATATCATGTTGGCCATTTTTTTTAAAGAACCAAGGTATCAAGAGTAAATCAGCTACCTTTGTATTAAACAAATGGTTGTCCTTTACAGTCATGATCGGAATATGACAATCTCCCTATATCACTGTTTGTTGACATGCAAGTGATCACATTGAGTGATCTGAACACGAACCTACATCTGAACTACTAGTTTTTGTTTTGTTTTTGTTTTTTTCTTGATTTTTGCAAAACTTTCAGTGGCAAATATTACATGAATATCAGCACACATTTTTTTTCTATATGAGATGAATACTCTTTCACAAGACGGACCTTAATGTGATGGTTACAGATTAGCACTCTGAAAGACATGTTACTCTAGATAAATACATGTGTGTGTGTGTTAAATATTTCTCTTGTTGGAGACTTGTAAAGCCAAATATACAGTGTGGATTTTTTGTTGTTGTTGTAGGCAGTACGGTCATCAATAGGACAAAAATAACTAGGCATAGTGTTTGATATTCCCAGATTGCTCTGACGTCTAGCGGCCTTATTTTTTAACTTTCTGGTCGTACAGTTCGCTATAATTGACAGTTTGAAGAAATACTAGAAAATATGATTTTTTTGTGCCCAAATTATGACAGCCAGCAACCGATGTAAAATTTTGTATGCTTCTTTTACAGTGATGGTTGACTGGCGTTAATCTTAAATAACGTTTGATATTTCAACAAATATGATTACTCTACGAATAACTCGTGTTCATGTGTTTGTGCCCCCCCCCCCCCCCATACCCCCCTTCCCCCCAAAAAAATGAAACAGAGAGAGAGAGGCGTTTGATACCAAATGAACATCGAAACTCATTGTTCTTATTTACATTCCTCTATTGGACAGAAAACTACAAAAACTACAATGTACTCTTGGTATATTGTTATTTTTTTATCAGTATAATCCCACATACCACATCGCGACGATATGCTGCCAACAGTTGGGTTACACTAATGATAGGACAATTGCCCGTATTGACCGGATGAGATATAAATAGTCAGGACTTTTTGTTATTTGATAGATTATTTTAATATTTGAAGACCTTAGAAATGCTTAGACTATATTTTATGAAAATCTAACAAAACAAATTGACCGGACGGATTTCACACTCACTGATGTACGCTTTACATATATTGAACTGATCGACAAAAAGTGTTACTAGTAATACCTCTTTTGTTTTACAATATTTTTCATACAACTAAGAAATCTGCGAGATCAATAGTTATCTTATATGAAAATTTAAACTTTATAGTAAAAAAAAATGTTTTTTTTCTAAAAAAAAAAAGATGACCGGACGGATTTCACATTCGCCGATGTACGGTTTGATTAT